TCGAAAATCTAGAAACAACAAATGGATAGAGAAAATGATTATAATCCATGTCTTAGTCCATATGATATCTAGAATGGAGGAGTATATGATCTCATATCTAATGAACAAGTCATTACCTAGGTCAGAGTTCGACAACGACTTTTAGAGCTACGATTTCTAGTTGGGTTTTGGAGTCATACACAATAATAGTTTTAGACTTATCCAAGTGGGAGACTGTTGGATTAGTGTCTAAGTCCATAACTATAATTAGTATGTACTTGACCCGACTTGGCATGGTCCATTTGGGTTGCACTTAATCGGAACAATTTATATGGATAATCTTTTGAGAATTGTATGTTTATGATTTATATTAATATATTATAAGTCCTAATATATTAACATGGAATCATATTATTTAATTAGTAGTGATCAAGAATTAATTTAGAATTAATTTAGTGATCAAAAGGAACTAATTAAATATGGACTCGTATATATATAGCATGGTCCAAGTTCTTTTAGTTTGGGCTAAGCTTGCATGGATAGTCCATGGAGTTTTAACCCATGGATCCTATGGAAATGAAAGGTCATGGGTATTAGGGTTTACATGAATGTAACCCTAATCCTCTATACTATATAAAGAGGTCTTTGGCACATGAAATGGCACTAGTGTGTGAGGATACAAGGGTGGGCCGATTTCTAGTGTGCATTCTATTCTCTAAAGTTTTCCAAGGTGTTTTTGGTGATTTTTGATTCCACTTAAGGCTTCCACACTATTGGGGCTAAGCTCTTAAAGTTCAAGACTTCAAGCTACATGAAAATGTATGTCATCTAACTAGGCTTTTGTAGTATAGTGGCTTGATAATATGCTAGTTAGGATAAAACCTTGTAATACTGAATATTTGCATGTATAATAGAGAAAACATAGATCCACGGTTTATAGGGTTGCATGTACACAATAGGAGTGTTAGAATGCTCAAAACCCTTCAAACCAACACTAATAGCAACCCACAATTGCAACACTCAACCAACGACTTTCAATGAACAACTAAGACATCCAAAAAAAACAACACTCACTATTCGCATGATCTAACCCAGCAGGCCACTGAGTCTCTCGGCTCCCTAAACCGTCGTAACACTCAACCATGCAACAAGGGTGACAATTTGAGACCTAAGATTCTCAATCAGATTAACACCTGGTCCCTCCTATATGATTCATACCATCACTGATTCATGATACACCTGGACACCATCTAACCATTATAACAATTAGCTTATGGTACATCACTGATCTTGCCATGATTCCATCACTTTACTGAAGGCTCGAGACTAGCATCACAAGGACCTAAGGATGCATAACCATACATCCAATGACTTTCAAGAACCCAATCAACTATTAGATTAGGTGTCTAAGACCAAAACTATAATTGGGATGTACTTGAGCTGATAGTAGCATGATCCTTTTGGGTTGCCTTCATACTGGTGACTAGACAGGATGACTGTTAAGGAGAGAGGCTGATTTATTGTTAAGAATAATAAATTGGGGCATAAATATGATTAATTAATATATTATAAGAATAATATATTAATTAGAAATCATACTATTAATTAGTATTTAATCAGAAATTAATTTGAAATTAATTTTGGGATTAAAGGAACTGATTAAAAGTATAGGGGTTGTTTTGTAATTATTTGATAGTTAAGGCTTTAGGCCATTGGACCACCTTATTTATAAAGGGCCAAAAATCCTAGAATGATCTAGTAGTTTTCGTCAAAGGCTAAAGGGTAGGAGTTCCATGGACTTTCTTAGGCCCTAAGCTAAGGAATTAGGGTTTCCACCCTAAAACCCTAGCTAGCCTCAAGTATAAATAGACCCCTAGGCATTGGATTTTTAGAAAACCTTCAAGAAACCCTAGGAGTGACAATTTCTAGAGCAAGCCACCCTCTCTCATTTCTATCATATTCATCCTTTCACCTAGTATGTTTGTGATCCATTAGAGGTACTACAATTATGGTACTTGTTCTCAAGAGAAAAGGAAATTCAAGGAACTGGTTGTTATTACTATATAGAAACAAAGGTATGTATTCTAATCATTTTTTGTGTATTTAGAATTTTTAGATTCATGCTAGGGTTTTCTTTTGTGCTCATTTGTTGTATTTCTAATAGTTAAAACATATATCCAAATTAGGGCTGCATGCACACCTAGGATTGTTTGTATAAAACTCATATGTGGTATGAGAGCCTTTTGTTCTTGTTTGCAATTATATTTGATACAAAAGTATGAATTTGACAAATTAGGGTTTATGGAAAATAAACCCTAGGGCTTGGATTTTCGAAATTAGGGTTTCAAAACCCTAGCTTTCGAAATTTATTAGTGTTTCTTGAACCCTTTGCTTTGGCCTCATATTTTTGACTTTAGGGTTGGTTAACCCTAGGGTTTTCGAAAATACCTTCCACCCCAAGATTAGATTTCAAAATTTTAGGGATTAGGATAATGTAGTCTTTGGTAATTATCTTATTAACTGTTTAAGTGGATAATTAAAGATTTTGAAATCTCCCTTTCCAAATTTTCGAAATCTAGGGGATAAAGAGATTAGGTTAAATTAATTGTTTAATTTAAATGGATAATCCTTTAAGATTTAATAATTTAAATTAATTGTTTAATTTTGGATAATTATTAAATCAAAGTTTTAGTATTTAAGATTTTAAAATTAAACAGTATTTTTTTTGACAATTTTAAATTTGATTAAAACCCTAGTATTTTGAAATGTTTAAAATACACCCTTATACTATTATAATATTAAAAGCTTAATACTTATATACATATATATATATATATATATGTGTGTGTGTATGTATGTATGTATGTATATATATATGTACGTATGTATGTATGTATGTATGTATGTATAAGATGAGTCAGTCTTAACGTTAGTAGGCCTCATTCACGAAGCCGATCTATAAAGGGGTATAATAAAACTGCCTATAAAATGGTGGTTGAATGGGTGTCCACTTTCAACCGCCGCTTCCTTGATTGGTGGAGGGTCGTTAGCCGAACGGGTAGGATAGGACAAACTAATTCCTCATTAGTAAGTATAATGATCTTATAAAGTAACTAAATGTTTTCATAAATTCCCAATCTTAGTTACTATAGGAAAATGTGAAAATGATGCTATTCCATGAAATTGCATTTTGCACCTTGCCAAGTCATTAGTGGAGCATGTGTGGCTAATTGACACACTAATTTGGGACTAAAAAGGGTGGAATATGGTAGCTCGAGAATTATCATAGATCAATGGAGCGTGTGTGTCTAACCGACACATTGATTAGGCAGTAAACGAAATCGAGTGTACCACACATATTTGCATGGTTATTCATACCTTGTTTTGATCCTCGGTATCCCAGTCACAAACTTGAAGGGCATAATCGAGATTGAAACATTCCATTGAAAAGTTCAATGAATCTAGAAATTTCAATTCATTTAAAACTTAATATTCTTTTTCGTTTTTCATGGTGGAAATTGGTAAATCGTCATTTACATACCTTCAAATATTTTGCAATTGGATTACGACAACCCTCATCCGAATTGTGAAATATTGTGTTGGGTCCTAGCCTTAATATTTCATTTAGGTGTTATATTAAGGAATCTAATCTAATCTAAACTTTGTCTCTTTTCTTTTTCATATGTGTACTTCAAACAACACTTCTGGCTCAAACACTTTTGGCTCCTTTTCCTTCATGAACTTATGTGGGAGAGTGATCTTCGATGGATCCAATTTTAACGATTGGATTCGTAACATACGCATGGTCACTCGCTACGAGGACAAGGATTATGTCCTCGACAAAGAGATAAAGGAGATTAATAAAGAAACTTCTACTCCTAAGGACATCATCAAGTATAGGGTGCATGAGAAGGACGTGACAAAGGTGTCGTGTATCATGCTTGCCACTATGACTGCTGAACTCCAAAAGTCCTACGAGGACTACTATACTTTCGAAATGCACCAAGACTTGATTGAAAGGTACTATCAAAGTGCTCAATAGGAAAGATACAAAATCATTGCCTCCATGATAACAACAAAGATGAAGGATGCAGAGTCCATCACAACTCACTTGCAAAAGATGCAAAGGTTTGTGGACGACTTGCTGAAGTTAAATGTCAACTTCGATGAAGAGCTGACTATTGACTTTATCCTACACTCTTTTATGATAAGTTCAGAATGACTTATCATATAAACAAGGGGGAAGTCACTCTAAGCAAGCTTCAAGGCCTACTAAGAACTGCTGGGAGTAGTTTAAAATGCAAGTCTGTTGTACCTACTCCTACCATTGTTGCCCATGTCTTGGCAATTAGAAAAGGGAAATGAAAGAAGAGAGAGGCTCCATCTATGATCCATAAGGGAAAGTCCCATGACAGATCCTCTTCTAGTAGGACCAAAGGTGGTTCTGCTGCTCCTTCTTCAAATCCAAAGGATCACTACAAGAAAAAGACCCTTTTACGATGAGCAAACCACAACACTCATTGATTTATGTTACGCAAACGAGAGTGACATTAAAAAATGTCATCTCTTAAAAAATTTAAGGATTTACGTCACGCATTATTGTGTGCCCTTAAATTACTGTCGCAAGAAAAAAAAATAAAAACACGGTGGGCGCTTTATTTTAAACGCGCGTCCTTTATACCCGTCGCTTTATAATTTTAATGAAATGCACATTCAGTAGAGGGGGAAACGAAATCACCAAAATTTTAAACACCCGTCTCCTACCTTCTTTATATCTTTCATCTTCTCCCCTCTCCCTCCTTCTCTCTGCTCTCCGATCCGCTTCTCTGCCACTCTTGACCTCCTTATCGGTCTCATCAAACATCGTGCCCCCTCCTTAATACCTTGCATGAATCTAAAAATTAGAAAACCCCGTCCTCACAATGTCTAAGAAAATTGGGGTTTTTTCATCCCTCAAAGGGCGACCCAAATCCTCCATAGATCGATCTCTATTGCTTCATTTCTCACAAGAAATCGAACAATTTACATTCATATGGCCACAAAATCGACTATTGCTGGAACTAGGGTTTTGGATCTTATTGAAATCAAAGGGTTTCTGGTCACCAAGCCATAGATTTGAAATCAAAGTGTTAGGGTCTCGTTTGTCACTGAAATCGAAGGATTGATGCTCACAGGGCCACGAAAGCTAGGGTTTTAGGCAAAGCGAGAATCACTCATGTCTAATTCCATCAGGAAATCAGTTATAAGCGATAACTATTCTTCGTTCGTGCTCCTCTCCAAGCTAATCGATTTTCTATTTCATAGCAAAGGTAAATAAGATTTCTTTTAGCTATTTTTCATTAATAGAAATTAGAATCAGAATCGTATTTCCATTCTTGATTCTCATATACTCTAACAATTATACTCTGACATTGTAGAGATAAAAAATTCTAAAACATTTATTTACAAAATCTCCCTACATCTTTTTTTTTAAATTTATTATCGAATGCCTTTGGGATTTTACCATTTTTAGGCTTTGGCTTAGAAAATCCTAATGAAAAATTGACATAATCATCCCTGATAATGCATTATCATCCTCATGTTTTCAGTGCATAAGATGACTTTTTGATATTTGTTCTCTTTATCTCTGTAACTTTGCTTTCAGATTATCATGTAAAGATGAAGTGTATGAGGAGATCATTTAGCAAGAACATTTCCGATAAGGTAATATTTCATTTGAGTTAACTATTAATAACACTTGGTGGCAATGAGATTTGAATGCCACATTTATGGAATACAACATGATCTGTTATCTATCCAAACCTAGTAATTAAATAGAAAAACTTATTAATGTTATCTTGCATAGCAGAAAATTTGTACTCTGGTTTTACGTGTAATAAGTTCTATCAATATATTATGTTTCAAAAATTATGTGTGATATGGTTGTTATTCTTGCAGATTATGTTTCCATTCATTGATTGATATATTTCTTTGCAAGACATTTGATGACAAAGTCTTTCAGTTAAAAATGTGGCATAAGCTTTTGATATCCTAAGTTGTTTACATCAACATGTTGTGAACACTGGTGAAGTTCTTTCAGCAAAATGCTAGAGGATGAGGTAACTAATACTAATATGTACACACACGTTGTCTGTATAATGAAGTGGTATGTTCCTTTTGATGATTTGGTTGTTTGATTATAAAACGAATCAGCAGGGGTGCATTTGGACGAGTTTTTCTAGCCAAAAAAAGGGCAACTAGGTGATGTATTTGCCATAAAGGTAAGGGCTTCATACACCCTCAATTATATTCTGTCCAGATAATTAAGTAAAAAAGAAACAGTTATAAGTGCTTAAAATGTTTACTTGTAATTTTTTTTCCTTCTCTTTTCTGGTATAACCAATGTACTTTGTTTTCTACTCTTATGGGTAAACACTAAGTAGATTTTCATTCATATTGGTATTGAAAAGTAGATTGCTTTTACAGGCAATTTGGTCTTCTTTTCTCCAACTTCATATTTTTTGATTGCTTTTAGGTTCTTGCACTGGAGTATTTACATTCTTTGAATATCATTCACTGAGACCTGAAGCCAAACAACTTGTTGATTGGTCCAAATGGCCATATCAAGGTAAACATCTTTTTTTTTTTTAAATTTAAAAAAAATTGAATTACTTATATATATATATATATATATATATATATATATATATATATATATATATATATATATATATATATATATATATATATATATATATATAATCATTATTTGTTACAGCTGTCAGATTTTGGGCTGTCGAAGGTAGGTCTGATTAACAGTACAGAGGACTTATCAGGGGGAGCATCAGAAAACAGGACCTCTATTTATGGGGAAAATGATGTTAATAGTAAACCAGGAAGAGAACGTCAAAAACAGTCGGTTGTTGGGACTCCTGACTATCTGGCCCCTGAGATACTTCTTGGTGTCGGACATGGTTGGAATTTACAATTATACCCCTGCCCTTTACCCTTTATCATTTATTCAAATGTCTTTCTGCTTATTGCTTATCTATATATTGAAATTTGAAACACACATAATTCCTTTGGTTTGGTTTGTTGTAGGTGCAACAGCTGACTGGTGGTCTTTTGGTGTTATTCTTTATGAGCTACTTGTAGGGATACCACCGTTTAATGCAGAATCTCCACAGGTACTCACTCTTATAAAATTTTGACACTTTGTTGATGATGGAGGGTAGATTGCATTGCATTGCATAAAAAGGTAACAAATGTACTTTGGTCATCTTCTCATTTTCTGAATTTGGTTTGGTTGGGGTGCAGCAAGTCTTTGCCAACATTATGAACAGAGATATACCATGGCCCAAGATTCCTGAGGAGATGAGCTATGAAGCATATGATCCGATTAATAAGTAAGTTTCTACTTCTTTTATCAATCAATCCAATCGTCACATATTCATACATAATTATAATTATGTTTATGTTTATTTCAATTTCAGGTTGCTGATTGAAAATCCAGCTCAACGCCTTGGTGCCATAGGGGTTGTACATGTAACATTTTCTCTCTCCATTATATATATATATATATATATATATATATACAGGGTCCACTTCAAGTTTTGGTTCGAAGAAAAATAGCTCGGTTGTTGGATTATTGTCATCAATGTGCTAGACTTGTATACAATGAATTAGTAAAGGTATTATATTTTTTTCTTTTTCTTTTTCTTTTTTTATAATTCAGAATAAATAAATATTTGGGCAATATTTCAGATCACCCATAGTTGTCTAGTGCATGAACTACAATATTTTCTTGTTCTTAAGATGCACATTAATAACATTGTTGGGAGTTTTTTGTTTGAAGGTCTTCAACCTTCATAAAAAATGATTGGACACTTAGTAGAAATGGAGGTATTAGACCAAAGTACTTCAATTGCGATTTTTATACATACATGTTCCTGTTCATTAAACCAAAGTATTTATGGTGTCAGGTTGCTTCAGTAACAACTTGTAGTTAGTATTGACCATTAACTATTGATTGACTTACTTTTTTCTGTTTGATGTAGAGTCAACTGGTAGGGAAGTTGTTAATTTTTCAAACTAAAACAGAGGGTTGATTGAACGAGAGAAAAGAAAACACCAACACTCTATGGCTAATAAGAATAAAATAAAATAAAGATATGAGGCAAAAAAGGTAAAACAAAATCGTATGTATGAATATGATTTGTATGGTAATTAAATTTATAGTGTACGTATGTTTTGGTTTGCATGTAGTCTTTGTTTGGCAGCTTGGACAAACTTTATAGCACCTGATCGTCCATGCCACTCTTGGTAAAACAAATTTATAGTGTACTTCTTCCATTCATGTTAGTAATTTCTCATTATGATGTGTTGTTTCTTGTGCAATTTTATTTTTAGGAGGTATTTTACTTTATTAAATATTTAAAGTTACATGACATGATGATCGTCACATCATGGAACATTTTAGGGCAGTTGTTGGTTTTCCTTTTGGTGATCCATCAATGAAGTGGCCAACATCATGTAATAACATTTTAGGAGAAGATGTAGGTATATGTTCTTTTAATGAATAATGTAATCATATGTATGAATATGAAATAAAGTTTGTTATTTGTATGACAATAAATTTTATGCAATGGATTGTATTTTTTGTATATGGTATTTTATTTTTTGTTATGAGACATTAAATGCAAATTTAATTTGAAAATTAGTAAATCTGTAAATAATATTTTTTTTAACGTTTAAAATTATGATAAGCAAAAATGTGTGTCATCTTCATTTATGACATGACCTTTCTTGACAGTGGCTTCCTTGATAGGCATTGCTTGTCATAAACACGCGCGTCGTAAGGTTACGACACGCAAATGCGTGTCGTCTTCCTTTATGACAGGGCCTTCCTTGATACGCATTGCGTGTCATAACCGCGCTTCGTAAATGCGCGTCATCTATAGACGACGCGCAAAAGCGCGTCATCTCACTTTATGACAGGGCCTTCCTTGACACGCATTTGTGCGTCGTCTGAGCGTTTTACGACGCGCAATGAGCGTCGTAAAAGGCTGTTTTTCTAGTAGTGGATGACGAGTGCTTCCACTATCATGATAAAGGGCATTGGAAATGAAGCTGCCCTACATACTTGCAGGACATCAAGGATGGGAAGATAAAGCACACCTTCACAATTATTTACAATATTTAATCTAATAACTCATCACATGTTATTTATTGGGTCCTTGATACAGGATGTGGTTTTCATATTTGTTCTGATTTGCAGGGTCTAAGAAGAAGTAGGGATATGGAGCACGAGAAGATGAACTTGATCCTGGGGAATAGGAAAGCATTGCTTGCCATCAAGATTGGAGTTTATTATTTATTGCTTAGTAGTGGGTTAGGGTTAGAGTTGAATGATTGTTGCTACTCATCAGAAATGGCGAGAAACATTATTTCTTTTCATGGTTTGTATAGACAAGGTTTTAGATTTTCATTTAATAAGGAAATTGGTTCTATAAATGCTTTCTATAATGGTATTTTTTTTTTGAAGCATTTCCTTGTAATGGAATATATGAAACTGTGAATGTTGTAGATAACTTTGGAAATAATGTGTTGCATATTGATTCATCCAATGGTTTGGACAAAGCATGCTTGTAACATTGTCGTCTTAGACATGTTAATAAGAAGCGCATAGCCCAACTCCAAAAGGATGGAGTGTTGGGGTCATTTGACCTTAGGGCGGATGACACGTGGGAGTCTTGTTTACTTGGAAAGATGACTAAATGACCCTATACTGGCACTTGTGAAAGGGGTGAGGGATTATTGGATCTCATACACACCGATGTCTGTGGGCCCTTTAGATCCACAACAAGGGATGCAAACTGTTTCTATGTGACTTTTACCGATGATTATAGCAGATATGGGTATATCTACTTAATTAAGCATAAGTTAGAAAGTTTTAAAAAGTTCAAAGAGTTTAATCAAGAAGTCGAGAATCAATTGGGCAGGAAGATAAAGATGCTCAGATCTGATCAAGGTGGTGAGTATCTTAGTATTGAGCTCCATATCTATCTTAAGGAATGTGGAATTGTTTCACAATTGATGCCTCCTAGGACACCGTAGCTGAATGATGTAGTTGAGAAGCGCAATCGAACCTTGTTGTACATGGTTCGTTCCATGATGAGTCGAGCTTCGTTACCTATCTTATTTTGGGGGTATGCCTTAGAGACTGCCGCCCATATCCTTAATCTAGTCCCAACTAAGAAGCTTGCCAAAACACCTCATGAGATGTGGATAAGGAAGGTTCCCTCATTAGCACATATCAAGCTTTGGGGTTGCGAGGCTTTCGTAAGACGAGAGACTCATAACAAGCTCGAACCTCTTAGTGTGCATTGTATTTTCATCGGCTACCCACCGAAGTCCTTTGGATATCTCTTCTATAGACTGAGTGACAATGTTGTCTTCGTTGCAAGGAGATGGGTTTTCCAAGAGAGAGAACTCATATGCCAAGAGGATAGTGGGAGGCAAATTGATCTTGAAGAGCTTTAAGAATCAAGTGATGAAGGAATCTAAAACACTAGCTCTCAACTCGAGGAGGAAACTCTTGTTGAACCGATTGAGGAGTCCTTACCTCTAAGACGTTCCAGTAGAGTTAGCGTTTCACCTGAGTTTTATGGTTTCCATATTACTACTGAAGTACGTTTATTAGTGATAGCACACTAATAAATTTGGATGAACCTAACAACTACAAGGAAGCCATGGCAGGGCAAGAGTCTACAAAGTGGAAAGAAGCGATGGATAGTGAGATTTAGTCCATGTATTATAATTAAGTTTGGAACTTGGTTGACAATGTACCGGGTTGTAAGATGGTCGGGTGCAAATGGATATTCAAGAAAAAGACCGACATGGATGGGAAAGTACACACTTACAAGGCGCGATTGGTTGCGAAGGGCTTTACTCAAACTCCTGGAGTTGACTATGACGAGGCCTTATCACCAGTAGCGAAGATTAAGTTTATAAGGGTTATGCTAACCATAGTTGCATTTCATGATTATGAAATATGGTAGATGGATGTCAAACCACTTTCCTTAATGGAAAGTTGGCTAAGGATGTTTACATGAGTCAGACAGAGGGGTTTGTAGATGCGAAGTACCCTAATAGAGTGTGTAAGCTTGAGAAATCCATTTATGGATTGAAGCAAGCATCTCGCAGATGGAATCTTTGTTTTGATGAGAAAGTCAAAGAGTTTGGTTTTTCGAGAAGCGAGGATGAGTCCTGCATATATGTCAAAGCTAGTGGGAGTATAGTTAGCTTCTTGGTATTATATGTGGATGACATATTACTCATAGTAAATGATGTCCCACCCTTGCAAGAGGCTGAGTCCTGGCTTGGGAAGTGTTTCACTATGAAGGACCTTGGAGAGGCGGCCTATATTCTAGGGATAAGGATATTTAGAAATAGTAGTAAAAAAACTAATAGGACTTAGTCAAAGTATCACAAGGACAAACTGTTGAAACGTTTCAACATGGAGAATTCCAATAAAGGAGAATTTCCTATCCAGAGCAATACCAAACTGAGTAAGACTCAGATTCCAAGTACTAATGTCGAAATGGCATAAATGAGCCGAGTACCATATACTTCCACCGTTGGCTAAATAATGTATGTTATGACATGTACTCGCCCTGATGTGGCTTTTGATTTGAGCATGGTTAGTCGATATCAAGGGAATCCTGGTAGAGCTCACTGGATATCAGTAAAGAACATTCTAAAGTAACTATAAAGGACTAAGGACTGGATCCTTACCCTCAGTGGGAGGAATGACTTAAGAGTGACAAGGTATAGTGACACTAATTTTTAGATCGACCGAGATAATTTCCGCTCTCATTTGGGCTGGGTATTTACCTTGAATGGAGGAGCAGTGACTTAGAAAAGTTCCAAGTAAGAGACCGTAGTTGATCCTGTTGTATTAGGTATCTAAGCCTATAACTATAATTGGTATGCACTAGACTTGAGAGTAGCATGGTCCATTTGGTTTGCATATCACCAGGACAGTTTGATAGGATTGACTTTTGAGAAGAGGTTATTTATGATTTGTTAATATATTATAAGTTCTAATGTAACGACGTATATTTCCAAAATAATTTTTCGCATTTTATAAAAACATAATTCATTTATTAATCATAAAAACATCATTGTTTGAAACTCAATTCATAACATATATCAATCCCAAGATCTCATAGCATAAAAATCTCATGTGTGTACTGAGCAAGCCGGAGCCTTCCCGCGATCCTCACTAGTACCTGAAACACATAACACAAAACACTGTAAGCACAAATCTTAGTGAGTTCCCCAAAATACCACATATAACACATATAGCCACTCGAGGCTATAACTCTGTGGGTCTGTGCACCCAACCTCTGTGAACCCTCAGGTTCTAACTCTACAAGCATGCACAACATAAATCACATAGAAGAATGCAGTGCAACAAACAATATATATATATATATATATATATATATATATATATATATATATATATATATATATATATATATATAAAACACGGTATCACATAACTCTATTTACCTACTCAAGGTAAAGTATTGTGAGAAGACTCACCTTGCGTATCTCGGTAACTCGTAAATCCCTGAAATCACTAGTGCTCGATCTCCCGACCTATAGTCCTCCTATACACAAATATATCTCTAATTAACACTTTCCCAAATAGGGTTGACTAACTCTATCAAGTCAACACCGGTCAACTCTGTTCAATGGTCAACGGTCAACCCAACTCGCCGAGTCTGGCGTGGACTCGCTGAGTCCCTACGAGGACCCAATTCCTCTGAATCCCTTCCGACTCACCGATTCACTCACCCAACTCGGTTACCCAACCCCTGGTTCGAAAACACGGAACAACTCGCTCCAACTCGCCGAGTCTGCCAATGGACTCGGCGAGTGCATTCCATGCATAACCCCAAACGACCTTCTGAGATCAGATCTATTCCACTAGCTCATAGATACAGTCTTTCCATACTTATTTATCACGTAAATTTTATGTCTTGGCGCTCATAACACACCTATTGACTCATAAATGGTGTTTTGACCTCACACACAATGATCCCAAACCAAAACCTCCATAGACTCATATAAAGCTTGGACAAAGAGGCACTTTGGACCTCCATGGGTCCAAATCCATAACCTAACTCGCTTAAGGGACCATGGGAGCACTAGATCTAGTCACATAAGGGCTCAATAAGCCCTAAATCAACATGAACATCACCTCAACAGAAAATGGATCGAAAATAGTACCTCAAACGTGATGTTTTGGACCTCAGATCTTCAGGAAGTTAACCCTCTTGCTTCCTCTTGGCTATAGCTTCCTTTCCCTTTCTAGATAACTCCTCCAAGGTCGACAATGGCTCCTTCTCTCACTCCAAACGCTCAAGTTCACTAGGGTTTCGCTTTGGGGGCTGGTGAGCACAAATGACGGCCATAAGGCCCTTTAAATAGGCCCCAAACCCGAGAAATTAGGGTTTCATTAAACAGCGCGGACTCGTTGAGTCCACCAATGCGACTGGCCGAGTCCGGTTATAATCCGGGTGAGAAATCGCGTCTCTACTCGGTGAGTCTACGCACCAACTCGCCGAGTTCTTCACAAAA